CTGTTTGTGTGTGTTTGTGTGTGTGTGTCTGTGTGTCTGTGTGTGTGTGTGTGTCTGTCTGTCTCTGTGTGTGTGTCTGTGTGCGTGTCTGTCTGTGTGTGTCTGTGTGCGTGTCTGTATGTGTGCGTGTGTGAGGCCGATCAGTCACGGGCTGGTACATGCAAACAGGAAGTACCCTAATAGTCTGCTACCCAAAAAACAGAGAAACACCACGTACATCACCACCCACCGCCCCACCAGGACTGAACTCTAAAACTACCAACAAACAGCCAGAGAGAGACACACAGAGCGAGAGAGGGAGAGAGGGAGAGAGAGAGAGATGATTTAAGTAACTAAAACGAAAATATCATATGATTAAGTAAATTATGTAAATAAAATACAATTAAAATAAGTAAATTATATAAATGAATGAATAAAACGTGATTTAAATAAATAAAAATACATGATTAAAGCAAATTGATTAAAATAAATTAAAATTAATAATTGATTAAAACAAATAAATGTGATTAAATATTTCAATAATTTTATTTTAAACTATTTTAATATCACCTATTTTAATCTTTTTTTTATTAGTTTCTGATTTAACTTATTTATTTTAATCACATGTATTTATTATAAATTAATTGATTTATTGTTTTTTAATCAAATGTATTTCTTTAGTTAATTAGTTTAATCTTATTTTTGTTAATTATTTATTTTACACTTTTTTCCTCTAAACTTTTCACGAACCAGCTTGAAAACCCCTGCTTAAAAAAAGATCTATAAAAAAAACGATATTTCAAAAAATAATAATCATGTCATACAGACAGTCATAAAAGTACAGTTGAGGATAGATGCTTGAAAACAACAGCAAGCTCAACATGTCAATCATGCCACAAAGGCCAGCCTCTTTATAATCATATATTCATGAGCCGACCAATCAGAGGACAGGAAACAGACCACACGGTCGGCGTAAGCCCCGCCCCTCATCTGTGAACATCATGGCGCCTGTTTGATCCGCGCCGAAAACTGAGCGAGAAAAGAGAAGAACTAACGATAAAACTTCGACAATTTCTCTACGAAGCACCCCGCTGTTCTTACCAGTTGCACTCGGACTACAAAGAAAACACTCTAGGGCTGCACTATCAGACGTTTAAAGCAGGAACGGAGGCGTTTATGGTGTTTTTCGGCGTTTGTGAAATATCCGTTAATTTTGTATGGATTTCGCGGCTGAAGCGCTTCAGGATTTCACTCAAATAAACACAAACCCGCTCAAACCGACACGAATTCACACAGAACACGACATTTTCCATCTAAAACAACAATTAAACCGAACACATTAGTATTTCCTCTGCCTTGACGGCCTTACCTCAGCAGAAGTGGTGTTTAAAGAGTGTTTCGAGCGGAGCTTCAGTGTTATTTACCGTCTCTCGCGCACAATGGCAGCGGAAATGCGCCAATCGGCGGCTCCCACAATGCACCGCGGCAGCCACAGCGTGTGAGAAACTCCTCTTCTTCTTCATCTGTTAGCCCCACACGATACTGTCTGCAGACTCTTATTAGCAGCATGTATCAGTGCTGGCCGTCACAGCGACCTTCAGTTTCTCTGGCTGAGAGTACCGCGGTGATACCGTGCTGATACCGTGCTACTATGATTAGGGCTTTCAATCTTTTAGATTCCACAGACCCCTAAATACAATCCTCCATTATACTGTAAAATCATATAAATACGTGTAACATTATTTAATCTATTAGGCTACATTCCATTATTTTGCTTAATTCTGCTCTCTATAGCACTGTACTTTTTGATGTAGGCATTTATTTATTCTTTATTTTTTTAATCAATTTTTGATATTTTATTTTAATCATTTTTATTTATTTAAATTAATGTGTCATTATTTATTGTACTTTTTATTTTATTTAAATCAAATGTTTCTTTAATTTGAATCTAATTAATTTTAATACATTTTTGCTTAATTATATTTAGTAATATTAATGACTATTTTTAATTATTTTATTTTATTAGCTTTTTATTATTATTACTTTTACATTTTTATTTATTTAAATAACTTTATTATTTCTTTATTTTAACCATTTTTATTTATTGTAATCAAATTTATATATTTACATACATTTTCATTATTTATTTATTGTAATCAAATTTATTTAAATATTTTTTAATTGTAGCATTATTTACTTATACATTTTTATTCAAGTACATATTTTTAATTATTTATTGTAATCTTTTTATTTTATTTAAATCAAATGTTTATTTTTAATCTAATGAATTTTAAATGCATTCATTATTTTGGTAATATTAATAATTTTAATTTTAATTATTTTATTTAATTTGCTTTTTATTATTTATTAATATCAGTTTAATTTTATTTACTTTTACATTTTTATTTATTGTAATCAAATGTATTTAAATAATTTATTAATTGTAGCATTATTTACTTATACATTTTTAAGTCACTTTTTATTATTTCTCGATTTCAACCATTTTTACTTATTTTAATACAATTTATATATTTACACACATTTTAATATTTATTCATTTTAGTCAATTTTTCTTTAATTTTATTATTATTATTATTTTTTTTTTTTTTTAACACTGTTTCTGTAAACTTTTCCTTTAACCCCAGTATGATTCCCTTCTGGGATTTGCCAAGATTCACTTTTATCACTGTCGGCTACAGCCACGTTAACCTCCTAATATCACATAATTACACTGTTAACGATAACGATACTGGAGGTGAAATATTTCCACAAAACAGACTCAATAACAGTTCAACACCAATTTATTGTCCAATTCTGTATTCGTGTAGTACAAAGATTTGCTGTTTAGGACTTAAACACATACAAAAACAAAGCAAACATAATCATCTTGTGATAAAACCATGAAAGAGTG